GCTCCTTCCCCTGGGGCCTGCAAAAGGCCGATGCTAGCCTGGCCCCATCCAACAGTGACAGCCTCTCCCCACCAACAAATATGAACATTAGTGTCTTTTATAAAAGAAGTGCCATCATTCAGGAGTCTGGCAAATTCTGCAGTGCTTTACTCCAGCAAACCACAAGACGTGTTCCAAGTATCTCAGTTATTATTTAGGTTGGCCATTTTTCTCTTTTTAACACAAGTCAGAGCTCTTTCCTGACTTTGCTATGCCTGGCTATCTGACCTATATCCTACACTTTGGGGTGATGTAGCTAAGAATTAAACACAGGCTTGTCAAGCTTTCACGCCCCCTGTACTTCCCCTCAAAGGTCCATTCTGCCCCCTCTGCTTGAAATGGAAGTGTTTGAAAGCACCACAAGGTTCAGAACTTCCCAAAGATGGAGTTTCTCCACAATTTTTGACTGCTACAATGATAGTTTTAACACAGGCCTCCTGTCTCTCTTTTGAAGCCTGAAGAACTTGCACATTCTGGTTTTTTCCCTCTCACTTTCCTCTCCACTCTTATCCCATAGATGCCAGTGATGCTAAGAGACAGTCAGAGCCTGTTTGTGCTGAACCTTAAACAGCAGGAACAAGCAGCTGCCACTTAAAAAGGACTCTCCTTTTTTCTTACCTTGCCTCAAGCCAGAGTCCACTCCCTGAACAGCATAAAAAGTCACTGCTCACCCACAGAACAAGAACGAGAAACTGCTGTGCCCACATTGACTGTCTTCCTTTTGCAAGCCACCAGGGCCAGCTGTCACTTCTGCATAAGCAGCAGTGCTAATGCAACTCCAGACAAGAAACTTCCACAGCTTCAGACTGTTTCAGCACGTCTTGAACAGAACAGCAAAGTGCAAAGCTGAAAGCTGGTACGAAGGGTTTCTGATCTTACCTGGGCTGCTGCTGGGGCTGCTGGAGGAGCCTGACTAGGTGGAGGTACAGCAGTTTGAGGTTGTGCAGGTACTTGTCCTGCAGCCTGAGGTAGTTGAGTAGGTGCCTGTGCTGGAGCATTGAGTGAAGGACCTGGTGGCTCAGCTGATGGGAATAGCTGCAAGCAAGAAGGCGTTTTAATGAGAAAAGAAACTCAAAAGTTCTGACTCAGGCACCAGCTTTCCAAAAAGTGCTTGTTTGCCACATAAATCGCTTAGAGAAGTTCACTAAGGGCATTCCTAGGCCTCCAGGACACTAAGACTGATCCCAAGTTTGTATTCAAGGGGTTTAATGTTTCCTCATGTCCAGGGACTCCTTCTGCTCCAATATTTTCAAGTTTTACTCACCAGTAAAGAAGGATAAGAAACCAAGATAGTCGCATGACTGTGGATCTTGGACAAAAATTACAGACTGCAGCTAGCAAGGCTGGATGCACAGAGATCACATCCTAGCTTGGACGAGAGCACCCTAAAGCTTTAGTTTCCCCCTTCTCAGAATCCAAGTCCTACTTGTATTTCCAAGTAGCCATGCAGTCAGAGCAGAGCAACTCTGCTTTGACTTGTAGTTTCTTTCAGAGAACATAGCCTAGCAAAGCATTAAGAGAACTATCAACGATTTATCCATTTGTAAAACAAACATCACAGTCACAGCAATCTGGATATTCAACTGAAAAGTCAATTCAGAGCATTAGTTCTTCAAAACACACAAGACAAGACTGTTTAGAATTGGACTTACTAAAGTTAGTCCCTTGCAAAAAAAAAAATCCTATGCAATTAATTTGGGGGTGGAGAAAAGAGCTGAATGAAAGTTTAACCTGTTTTACCTCGTGTCAGAACAGAGAAACTGTTTTTGGCATGGTAGCCAAAGAACTGTAAGCTTGATGGCACTTCTTCAGTGTGCCCTCCAACTTACTCTGCTAAGCTGTAGGAAATGTAAGTCTCCTTGATTATTGAAAACCTGGGCAGCAGACCTCCAACCCACAATATATATTAAGGGATGTATCACAATGGGGAAATTCATCCCAAAGGGATTCTGGTTTTCAGCTTTTTCTTTGAATTTAGAGTTTATGCTAAATTACAGTGGCAGAACTGTAGTCTTTCTTAAGATCTCCCTTTATAATCAATCTTCAGGAACAGATGAAGGAAGAACAGGACAGCCTAACCCAAGACTAATTTCTAGGAGACAGCCTTGTTTATCTTTCCACACAGGTAGGGAAAAGAAAGACATAGCAGTCTCTAGAAGATAAGCAGTCTCTATCATTGAAAGATAAGATATACTAGTATTCCTGATGCAAGAAACACAGGACAGAATTGAAGGCAGATTATAAACTGCATTTGAAGTTTGCTATTAAATACCACTACAGATTTTTTTTCACAATTCCAAGCACAGGTTCCAAACCAGCGAATTGGACTATGCAAAACAGACATTTTAAAGTTGTGTTTTGTTGTTGGGGTTTTGGGGTTTGTTTTTTTTTAAAGAGGAAATCAGAACACAGTTCTTTTGCTTAGGTTGTTCTTGTAACCAATTCTTACCACAGACTTTTGCCACAGCAAGTAAAGTTGAATAGATATACACCAAACTTAGCTCAGAAAGACCTCTTGGCATTACACAGCTACCAATTCCTTTTATAGAGAGGTTTTCAAGTAGAGCTCAGCTAGATACTAGCTTCTGCTTCACACAATAACGTTTTCAAAGGCTAATAAAAACATGTTCCTTGCAACAACAGCAATAACCAGGAGTCATCATTTCAGGAAGTCATTTGCAATTATAACTTACCTCGGAATTCTGTACAGGTTCTTTCACCCTGGGAGACTGAAAAACAAAGAAAAAGCTGTCACGGCCTTGACAAAAATGAGACTTAATGACTAGAAGGACTTTTCTGAACCACCCTGAACATATGAAATCTACATAATTGTTTTTAAATTACATATATGTATTAAGATGCATAATGAAAGGGAAGCCACACAATTTGTTGGCAACCTAAAGCATATCATAATACCCAGAGACATACAGTCATGTTTGGGGACTTGCAGTTGATATTTACACAGTGGCATACAATACCTAAGCTGCTATCATTGCTAACTATTAGCAAAATCCAGTTCTCTCGAAGATCACTCAGATTGGATCAAATTACTTGTGCACCAGCATCCATTTTAAGCCGTCCAAGTCTTGTGGAAAAAGATTAGCCACACCAATCTGCCTTGCAGAATTCTGCTAGGAAACAAGTTCCCTTCGTGTACTTAGGGAACTAGTTTGCAAACCAACTTGCTTAAACCATACAAAACCTTGGGAGGGGAGTGAAGGGGGGTGGGGGCGCAGAAATCAGCCTTATTTGTGCTGCTTTATAGCAAGAAATCTCTTGCCTGCTCTCCTTGCCCTTAAACTCAGCATTAGACTATGCTCTCCATGAGAGAATGCAGAAAAGTGACAGCTGTACACAAGTTCAGCAGTGAAACAAGGAGATCAGCAGAATGGAGGGGAAAGTGCAGTCAGAGCAACTCGACCAATCTTTGCTTATCAGTAAAACAAAGATAACATTCATTAGCTATTTCACATGAGCAAGCAAGAATTGCCAAGTACTCCTGTAAAGCCCTGCAATTAAGAGAGCCTGCACCTTCTAACAGGTCCAATTACCATGTGGAGATAGACAGGTGGGATGGCTTGGTCCATGCTGGGATTAATGAAATACATATCCCTTCACCACATAATGATCTAAAACACAGGTTGCGATTAGGACAGCATGTTTGACAGAAAAAACGTAAGTCTCATCATGCCACAATCTTAACTTGGGCCAGTTTATGCACTAACCAATGCCCCTAACTTAACCAATGCAGATCAGAGCAATTTATAACATATCATAGAATCATAGAATGTTTTGGGTTGGAAGGGACCCCTAGAGGTCATCTAGCCTAAACCCCCTGCAATGAGCAGGGACACCTTTAACCAGATCAGGTTGCTCACAGCCCCATCCAACCTGATCTTGAATGTTCCCAAGGATGGGGCCTCCACCACCTCACTGGGCAACTCATTCCAGTGTTTCACCACCCTCATTGTAAAGAATTTCTTTTTTATATCCAGTCTAAACCTACCCTGTTTTAGTTTAAAGCCATTACCCCTTGTCCTGTCACAGCTGGCCCTACTGAAACACCTGCGGCAACCCCCCTGCGCGAGCAGGGACACCTTTAACCAGATCAGGTTGTTCACAGCCCCATCCAACCTGGCCTTGAATGTTTCCAGGGATGGGGCCTCCCCTACCTCTCTGGGCAACCCGTTCCAGTGTTTTACCACCCTCATTGTAAAGAATTTATTCCTTAGATCCAGTTTAAACCTACCCTGCTTCAGTTTAAAACCATCACCCCTTGTCTTGTCACAGCTGTTCCTACTAAAAAGATTGTCCCCATCTTTCCTATAGGCCCCCTTTAGGTACTGAAAGGCCACAATCAGCTCTGCCTGCAGCCTTCTCTTCTCCAGGCTGAACAACCCCAACTCTCCCAGCCTGGCCTCATAGGAGAGGGGCTCCAGCCCTCAGATCATTTTTGTAGCCCTAATATGACCCAGAGGCCTCTCATGAGAGAGAGTAAAAGCTCTTACTCTCAGAACAGCAAGTTGCAGAAAGCCCTCTGGACAGGAGGAGAAGGAACAGTTCCTTCATGGTGACCACGCACAGACAGCATCAGGAAAAAAGTCACACAGCTGGAAAGGTAAAGCCTGAAATCCATCCCGGTATGTTGAGCCTTCACTTGAGAGTTACCAGGCAAGATGAAAAACATGGCACTGCTCCCAGAGATAAACAGGCACGCTCCACATCCGCAGGCCACGGCTGCAGCACTGTTCTTCCAGGCACAAAGCTCCTATCCAAGAGTACACGGATACCTCAAGGAATAACTCAAAAGGAGCTTGTCTGAAAGTCCGCAGCGTGCTAGATGCGGTACAGACAAGCATGGAAACACTGGCCCGACTCCACAGCTAACGACTAACCCAGATAAATGGCAAACAGAGGCAAACTAAGGAAAAACATGAAGAGACTGAAAGGAAGTAAGACAAATATTAAAAGATGGTTACCTAATTAAGGCACAAAAAGGTTGACTTTGGGATGTGCTGACATGTATTAGCTCTAACTTACTTTTGCTTGTGTAATTAGAGATGATGGGAGTAACCAGTGAAACGTGACCATGCGGTGCACAGATCTACTGAGTAACGGGAGCAAGTTATTTAAGAGCCCACATAAACACAATTGCTCTAATTCAAATTCAAGGTTTTAAATACCGAGAGTAAAGCAGCTCAGGAAGTCTTTCTACCCAAAAGGTAACGTTGAGCCAGCAAGTCAGCTTATTCAACAAATTGGGCTGGTATTTCTCGTCATTTGTAATAAATATTTGTCTGCTTTCAGGTGCAGTCCTAGCAAGAGACTTGTAAAATACACATTTACATACTAAATTCACCTTATTTTTTCTATAAAGTGCAGATGAGCAAAAAATACAAACACTTTACATTTATGTAGAAGCTTTTATGCAGGATAATACTGAAGTATTTTAGCAAATTAAGTCAATCTGCAAGCCATTCTTTTACTTTAAGGCTGACAGCAATAAAACACAGGTACAGCCGGAATCACAGAATAGTTTGGGTTGGAAAGGACCTTTAAAGATCCATCTAGGCCAACCCTTCTGCCACGGGCAGGAATAAAAGGTAACATCTAGTTAATGTAAATTATTCTATATTACAACTTAGTTAAAATTGCACAGGGATTACAAGCAGGTGAAGTTTACACCCTGTGCTTGAAATCTGGCCAAAATACAGGATTAACACCAGTCCTCAACACCACCACTGTATTTGTGGCAAAACACTGGCAGTTTGAATACAAGTCTTAAGATTGCTCGGAAAGGGATCAAACAGAAGAGGTGCACAGGCGTTCCCATCCTTTCATCTTCGGGCTGAAGAAAACAACTCAAAAGCCGTGCAGAGGAAAGACACCAAGGGCAGGATTCAGCCACCTAAGTAGACACGTAGATGCCATGGTGCCCTTCCTGACCTCCAGAAAGGTACACGTGTCCCAAAGTTCTGCACTATATCTACACCCGGTGTCTCCAAAATGGCAACGTACAATTACCTTTAGGTGACTGAATTGAGATCTACTGCTCCAACACCCATCCTAAAAGTTTCTTGAATGGGAGAGACAGAAGTAAAAGCCAAGCATGGCCCAAATTAGAGAGATCAGAACAGACAGCAGTAAAGGAAATATGCCAAAGCTCCAAGGAAAAAAAAATGGCTTGAGAAGGAGCTTGTAAACATGTGTGTCAATCTGCTCTTTTCTGCATAAGAGGAATGAAACAAGCAAGTACTGTTCAAAACACAGTAAATGGTGCTAACTCATAGTATCCTGAGCTTAGAGACACGATAGAACAAGTTCTAAGTAATTTCTGAAATAGAGTTAGGGTCTTTCACAATATTCCCTCCTAAAATTTGATTATATTTTAACCTACAAAAGGAATTTCGAAGATTTCAGCTTATAAAGGTTTAAGAATTTCGGTAGTATCCATCTGGTGACAAGAGATCCTCCTTGACCCTGGATATAGTAAGCTCTTTAAAAAGACACAATAGTTGTTGCCACAAAGTGTGGAATTACTTGATTAATAAGAGGCTTTAAAAACCCAAGCATTTCAAAGGATGCCAAAAAGATGCAAAACCTTGTGTTTCATATTTGATGTCTATACAGAACACCAGTAGAAGAAAAAGCAACGAAAGAGAAATGAGAAAAGTTAAAGTTGTAAAGGGAAAAGTTAAAGCTGTAAAGGGATAAATACTTCAAACCAATACTGTTTTTTCCTTTCATATTGAAAAGCTTCCTCTAAAAATCCTTCACTGCCTCACTAATTCAATTACAGAATGATTAAATGTGTAGTCCCCTTCAGCTACCTGCTGTAGTGAAAAGGGAACCAGCAAGCCATTACAGTCAAAATCCACACTGACTACTGGGAGGAAGACAATCTGGAATTTTGTTGTAATCCTTTATTTGATCGCTGTGCACTACTCCTCTGTGTTTCTGGGGGTTAGTCTGGGCTTGCGGTTTTTTGTGTATGTGTTGGGGGGGTAGCGTGAGGATTTTCAAGTGCTAGACCAATCACTCCTTGTAACTTCAGGGATGCCGTAACGTTTACTACTAGCACTAATTCATTTCAGCGTAGCTGAGGGGACAGAACTAGGCCCTGTGTATTTCAGGTATCAGCCATAAGTACAGGCCCTATTGAGTTCAGCTCCATCCTGGAGAGGGCAGTAGGACAAAACCTCTCTTGACACTTCCAGAAGAAAGCATCTCAAAGAGCTCCCTTAAAAACAAAGAGAATATCCTAGCTCACGTGAATTAGTATGCTAAGCTGGGCGCAGATCATCTGAATTCATGGTCCCAATTACGCTCAGCATCCTTGAATGAGACCAGCTGTGCCCCAGAATGATGACAGAAAGGAGATCAATACAATTTCTTCAGCCTTCAGTCTGCTTTCTCTGGTTGGGCTACAAACTCAAGGGGAGGGATTGTAACTTACTGCATATCACACTTCAAACAAGGCCACATGCTTCCCAGGGATATTTAGACATACCACAGTTAGAAAACAAAACAGAGACAGTAGAGCTATTGGAGTTCGAGGACCCACCCTGAGCTGTGAAATTGCTGCTCTGCCTTCCTCACTTTCTTCATCTAGTTCATCATCACTCCATTCCCAGCCACCATCTTCAGTCTTATGAAGACGCCCGCTGGAACCTGGGACTCTCCGGACCTGCTCGGCACAAAGATGGAAAACTGATATGTCAAGCAGACAGTTTCTACAGTTGATCTCTTCTAGGAGAAATAGCACACGAGCATCTTTAGGTTGCACCATCTGCCAGGGCACTTGAGTATTTCATTGAAATGTCTAGCTCTGGATCTAGAAAATGCTGTTCTACAATAATTTTAATTAAAATGTGAACACAAGCATAAAAAAGCTAGTATGACTATAACAGCAAGAGCCCAAGAGGTTTTCAGTACCTTTTTGGATCTTTCAGTGATTGTTGGTGCTCTCTGCAACATCTTCTCTTGTAAAAATTCTTTATTCTGCAAAAGACAAGACACCAAACGTTTGCATTGCTGAAAACATCCTTTGATTCCTTCAGTGTCTCTGATAAACTGTTAAGCTATTTCTAGCAGAAAGCTTTTACGTGTTTTCACCCCCACTACCCCAACGACATTGACCACTTTCTTCCTTTGGACTACACCATATGATGTTTCATCCTAAATACTGTTTAAGCAAGCAGTGGCACTTTCCCTATGCAAAATGACAGGGAATTAACAATCAAGGAGTTGCATGCTACGCCATCTGATGTACTGGGGAACGTGCTTATACTTATTATATCCCAGCATCTGATACCCTGCCGAGACATTTAGCATTCTTCCATTCACGGATACTACACCACCTGGATCCAGCCACTTCGTTTTATCTTGCCCCTAAATTTATGCCTGTCCAGCTGTCAAAGTCAAACCTCAGATGTCAGGCAGGCCAGGATGCAGGAATGTATGCTGGAGTAACGAGACGCAGGAATTAGGGCAACAGGAGTTAGAATGGCTGAAAAAATGTACAGCAGAGAGGAAGTAAATGTGGTGATCACAACAGACTAAATATTGGGAAACTGCTGTGATGCTTTACTGTATTAAATTTCCTCTTCAACAAGCTACTCCAGAGTAGCTAATGTGTGGGCTTGTGGCTGTACAATTTTCCAACCGGTTGACTACCGAGCCAAGCTGCTGGCTGCAGAGGAAGCAGGCCAGGCAGGCACCCTGGTGTTAGCCCTAGGATCTGGCTGGGTGTTTCACACCACAGGACTGAGGTTAGGTAGCCCCACCACCTCTGCCCATGAAGTGCTCCCCGAACTCCCCTGTGATGGTCCCTTGCACGCAAGATGGAGATCCCCAAGACACACGCTGTCTCATAAGTGGCTCTCAGCACTATCAAAACACACTTTTACTAACATAATCTGTATTTAAATATATGGTTTAATATAGACATATAGAAGTTGGACTCCGCTGTTCTCAAGTTACAGCTGTCAGTTTGGCAGTGGCTGTTGTATAAAAGTAACTTAACACCGAGTGTTAACCAGCACACATTTGCACTTTGGGTGCTGGTTTAAGCACTGCTTCATTTACAATAATGTTAATTTTCTATCACCACATATGCTAATATGTTACTCTGCAGCAGCTTAATGAAAGCATGAAGGAGATTTTACACACAACAAAGTATAATATGAACTAGAACTCGCGTAACCAAATGGAGAAAGGTCAGCAATGTGTAAACCATCTTGTCCCTTTGGACACCGAGTGCGCATACAGGTGCAGACTATTCAGTTGCCTAAAATCCCATTATGGACAATGAAAACCTAGTTAATACTGTCAAGAGCCCAAGCATCAGTTAAACTTGCCCTAAAGCAAACTCCTACATTTCATAAACTGGATAACACTCTGGACTTCCTTGGTTGCATTCCTGTACAGATACCTGGATGTGGCCACTTCCATTTAGGCATCTTAATCTGGGAGCTGAAAACAACTTTGATTAATTGGTGATGCTGCTGTGCTACCCCAGGTATCTGATATCTTTTTGATAGTTTAGTCTGTGTTCTGCTATAAAACCCGTGTATTTTGATCACAAACATGCCACAGAAAAAATAAGCAAACAGAAAACATTTCCTCATTCCCATGGAAATATAAATTCTCCCTTGTATTATTTCTGTCTGTCTCCCTCAATAAGACATTGCACATGCACTAATCTCCAGGCAGTAATTACATAAATGCTCACTGGCAGTTCACTTCAAGGCTAGAAATGGGAGTTTCCTACTAATTTGTATCACAGGATCTTCACTTTCCATAAGGCAACACAGGGTGAAATAGTTTTAGGCAGCCCTCTGCACAGTGGGCCTCATTCACTGCCTTGCATACAGACTGATTATAGAGTTTACTAAAATATAAGTTACATTTACTGCCACAGAGACCTTTATGGTTGGACAGGCAGCCAGAATGGCACCATGACAAGAGAAGAAAAAACCCCCAAAGCCACTGAAAGACATGTAAATGCTTAAAGAATTCCTAGATAATTTCTCTTAATAGCAGCACACACAAGGAGGTACAGAAGAGGGGTTTCATTCTGGTTGTTCACAATGACCCATTCAACTCACTCAGCTATGCTGGCCCTAAATGAAACAGCCCACACTCATGCCAATAAAGCTGTCACCATACCTATCATACTTCTGAAAAGTCCTCTCCACAGCCTCTGCACAGATCAGTTCAGGAAGTGTTTTCTTACCTTTGCTTTCGTGAAAAATTTGTGTCTTAAGAGTTCTGCTGCTGTCGGTCTGTCAATAAAAACAGATGCAGAAAAGACAATGATAAATGCCCCCTTTCAACACAACAGTCTTCCAGGTTGCTGCAGCTTGTTGTAACACGGCATCTTGTAAGGGCATCGGCAACGTGTTCCAAGTAAATTCTACACCAGCAGTCTTTTAAACACTCAGTGTATTCTGATCAAAGCCTATTCTGTTCAAAAGCAGTGAATAACTTGGGGCGGGGGGGTGAAGAAGCTGCTCCCATTTTTATGTTGAACTTGAGTCTTTTAGAGCCAGTTTGATAGGATCACCGAAACTATTTGCTCAAAATTGACATGAAGGATCATCACCTACAGCAGGAGTGCAAGTAACAGAGTTATTTCAGATTGCATGTGTGTGATTAGTTCTATAAACACAGGTGGGACAATCAACCTTTGTCTAATAGAAAAGGAACCCCAACCCAAACCATTCTATGATTCTATGATTAGTTCTATAAAACACAGGTGGGACGATCAACCTTTGTCTAATAGAAAAGGAACAAGTACAAACTTTCCCCTTTAAGTTAGGCTTTAGGATAAACACTGGAAAGTAAAAGACATCCCCCTTGGTTAGCTTAGATTCATAGAATCATAGAATGGTTTGGGTTGGAAAGGACCTTTAGAGGTCATCTAGCCCAACCCCCCTGCAGGGAGCAGGGACACCTTTAACCAGATCAGGTTGCTCAGAGCCCCGTCCAACCTGGCCTTGAATGTTTCCAGGGATGGGGCCTCCACCACCTCTCTGGGCAACCCGTTCCAGTGTTTCACCACCCTCATTGTAAAGAATTTCTTCCTTATATCCAGTCTAAACCTACCCTGGTTTATTTTAAAATCATGATCCCTTGTCCTGTCACAGTCAGCCTTGCTAAAAACATCGTCCCCATCTTTCCTACAGGCCCCCTTTAAGTACTGAAAGGCCACAATAAAGTTCTTTCTTTCTAAAGACTCAGGCCTACATAAGAAAGTACCAACTTAGAGCACGTCACATAGTACAAACTATGCTTAAATAGTAACAGAGTTTAATTAGCAATTTGCAAAGGCCATTCATCACAGGGTTTATTTCACCTCAGACTATTCTTAACAAAAATCATCCACCTTATAGCAAGGGAGCCCCCAAAATAATTAAAAAGCAATTGCACTAAATCCTCCTCTTTGAGAAGCCATACAATATGCATGAGCATATCTGACTCTGCTAGGTGCTCTTTAGGAGCCGACCTCCTGCTCCCACAGTCAGGGTGATGGTAGTGGCTGTTAGTGGTGCTCGAGAAGAGAGAAGGGGGACGCCACTATTCAAAGCCATTGTGTTTAATTCCGATCAGCACGCATTCTAACCTGCAGGGATAGGATATGCTTTAGAAGGGAGAAAAAAACATCACGCTGGGAAAAACCACCCTGCTATCAGCATTTATCAAGCACTCCACTGGATTCATTAAGCATTTCAAGTGTGAAGCTTGTTAGAAGAGAGAGATCCCATCTCATGATGCGTGAGAAGCCTTTGTTCCCGGATCTGTCACAAAAGGGAACTGAAAAATGCCTTCATTATTATTATTTTATGAAGGGATTTTTTCCTTTCCAGAAGTAGTTTGCTTACTGAGGGGAAAAAAAGAAACTAAGAGGTATAAAAACTGATCTGTGGGAATGCTTGTTCCTTTACCTTTGCATTTTAAGGTACGCTGTTTTTAATGCAGGATGAACACGCCTTTGAACAGCTTCACAGACAGGCAAATGCTATGACCGTCCTCCACAGAAACACATCTGAGCTCTCCTGCGTGACAGGCTGTGGGTTTTGAACAGCGCCGCAGACAGCGGGACCCCGGCACGGCTTTGAACGATGCCCTAACATCATGACACAATGCTATCCCGGGCACCACAACATATGTACCACCCCCTCGGTAGTGTTTGTAACAACAGCGAGTAGTCAAGCTACTGTTACGAGGAAGACTGAAAAGTGTCCTCAGGTCACTTAAGCAACCTGTATTGATGAAAACATGTTGGTAAAATTTGCCAGTGTTACTCCTGATTTCTGCCCCCCTCAAGCAAATATTTCTTGTCATTAAGCAAGTCAAAACTACACTGAAAGCCTTCTTTGCACCAGCAAATTTTTAAAAGTTTATTTACGAAGCTTCGCAAGCAAATACTTACCGCCCAAGGTGTAATTTCTCATTTATAAACACAGAGCAGTCTTGACTGGGAACAAAACATGAACTGCAGTCACCTGCTGGGGGTGGCAAGGGGGAGAACAGCACTACACAGGCAGTGGACTGGGATGCACTCTCATTAACCCAAATGGAAGCCGTGCGCCCTGGCCAGGCACAATGCCAGACATTTATCCTTATTCTTAAGGACAGTCAAGAGAATCTGCTGCCACACAGCAAAATTGCTGTGTTCATTGTGACTGAAAGGCTGGAGGGGCTGAGAGTGTACCAGCTTTAAAAATTATGGAATGCCATGAGTTTTGTGGGTTTGTTTTAGGGTTTTGGTTTGTTTTTTCTTTTTAATTTATTTTGGTGACACCTGTTCTTACCTTTTTTCGGGGTCTTTTTGTAGGCATGATGAAATCATCTTCCTAAATGATTTCCCGTACTTCTTCAGCATCTCCTTATCTTGCACACCAGTTTCCAAAGATGGAGGCTCATTCTGTAGCGTCAGCATTAAAACCTGAAAGAATTATGTCTATTGGCAATGAGATTTTTCTTGGCCTTTGTTAGAGACAGATCTTGGGAACACTGTATTTTAGATACGCATTTTCATCAAGCATCTGAGTCAACAAGGACTGTTTCATCACAACGGCTCTCTGGGGGTAGCCTGAGCTCAGAGTGAAGTTTCTTACAATTTAAGACTGTCTCCTCACATTCACCAGACAGCAAAAACTCCCCTACCTTTTCCTCAAGGGGATTACAACAGGGTCTCTTCTTCTTCCCTTTGCTTCCCACATTCGCTAACTTTGCAGAAAGAATGATTTTCAAAACCTCTACACCCCTGCAAATTCTGCTTGTCAGCTGAGAGCTTCAAGACTCGTACAATAGAATCTAGAGAGTCACCTCCACCTCCTTTCCTTGAGAAGCCAGGCTAATTTATATCCGATAGTTTATGTTGTCGTCTTCCATTACATCTCCTGGCCCACAGCGCAGTCTGTGGGCCAAACACAAGGTTGGGATGGGCTACCAGGCCTGTTTGGTGTAAGCATAGCAGAACTTCTACCAGCCTTCCTCATTTGATATGAGCAATTGTGCAAAGCATTTCATTGAAACGCTCTGTTTAGATCTCCCTGCGGGTATTTCTTAGCTAGAAATCAAATTAACATAAAAGCAGAAGGGCAACATAAAAAAATACAAGGGTTCATTTCCATGTACCAATGTGACAGCAGGTGAAGACGTTTCTCACACAAGCACCCACCAAGCCAAACTGATCCTTCACATCACTCAGATATTCTGAAGGAAAGGAAGAAAATTACTCATTTCCATTTTCACTTGTCACCTACGTACAGATGAATATCTATTTTTAGAAAAGGAAGCAGCACATAGCACATTTAAATAGCTTTCAACAGCTATATTGCTTACGGCAGCAAGAGCCCATCAATCTAGCTGAAATTATACAGTCCGTGACAGAATTCCCTGCTTTTTTCTCCCCTCTCCTTGGAGGGTAGCTTAATGCATGGGTCATTTTGCTGCATAACAAAATTAATTTGCAGTGAAATGCAATTACATTCAATAAATAAAACATAGAAGTCGTCTTACAGGCTGCACAACTAGAACCCATACCTAATAAAACTGAAGACTCATAATTCTATCTACCATATGACACCACATGATACTTCGATTCGAGGGAGTAGAAAAAAAGTGGCCTTCAAGAGGGTGGGAAATGCAGAAGGGGCTAAAAGTTTTGTGACTGAGACAGGGCCTCATCAAGTATCAAAGGAGCCAGGGAAAATTATATCAAAGCTCAGTAGAAGGACAGGATGCTTCGGACCTCAACTGACGGGGCTAACTCTGTTAACTTTAAGATGCAGACTCCCTGAAAGAAAAGCGTGATGGAAGCAGCCCCTGGTTCAAGAGTCAGAAAACAGGGAAAGTTAGCCTAACTATATGGCACTTCAAAGTTCCAAGATATTTAAAAAAGATTTTTGAAGTGTCAGCATTTAAACAAGAATGTTTCCTCCACCTTGACTTCAATAAAATATTAATATTGCCAATACTGCACTATTTCATACTGATGTGGTACTTTCCAGAAATGCCCTACCCTAGTTCAGTGATTGACAGGTCTGCATTGGCATTAAACAAAATATGATGTTCTTTTGGATAACTGGTAACAGGATTTCTGAGAGATATCAAAAAGGATTATCAGTGCAGGAGGAGGAATGGCTTGCCATCCCAGTGTCACTGGATGCCAGATAACATTTTCTGAATCATTATTTATATCCCTAAAAACATCTGCTGCCTTCAGAGGCTCCAGGATTAAAACACACAGCACCTTCCTCAAGAATGGTGACCATGGCGAGACTCAGGATCTAAATAAGAACCAAGCACAGTTTCAGACAATGCTGATTAAGTGGCATATTTTTAAAAGGTGACTTCAGATAAATCCAAGAACATCGTGATCCACAAGTGCAAGTTGAGAGGACAAACTCTTCAACGAAGCATGCCGGCCACATTCTTGGAAACTCCCACAGAACACACTGATCCTTTATCTTGCACAAGTATCTGGAGACCTGCTCACCTTCATCGGCGGGTATTTATGGTGAGGAGCTGCCCCTGTAGCCAGTTCAATAGCAGTGATCCCAAAGCTCCAGATGTCTGCCTTGAAATCATATCCTCTGACCTGAAAAATATTAGAAGATGTTAGCATGTGCTTCTTGCTATCCTACACTACAATCCCTTTCTTTAGCTTGTTACACAACCTTTCGCCCTTTCCTTCCTTTCCCCTCAAATTTCGGAAGACCAGCACTGTAGTGTTAAAGAGATGGAAAGAACACTTTCTCTCTCCCCTTCCCCCAGCTGCGTATACCTTCGAGGAGGTGTTTTAGAAGTCACAGTCTGATGAAAATTATGGTTGTGGACTGTGCAACTAGGACTGCTCTGCCATAAACCTCTCCATGTGTAGAACATAAAGGGGCACTGGGTTAACCCAGGCTCAAACTTCAACACAAAGACACAGAGAGTCATTAAACAGTATAATGAAACTCTCACAGTTAATAGACAGACTGTTATCCCCTTGGGACGTACGCCTCACTACACTTTTAGTCAACCGCTTAATCAATCTGACTACAAACATGCTCAATCCTGGAACTTCAGAACACACCACCTCAGTAAAAAGCCCTTCATTCCTGTCTGCAGACTAATATTTCCCTCCACTAATTAATAGTACCTTCTGCACTTGACATTAAACACGGACTTGTTCAGGAAAATTTATAGCATTTACTTCCCCTCATGCACAGGAAAAAATATTTCATATGCCAAAGCGGTTACTTCCTCACTATCATTAGGTAATATTTTGGCACGTGCTTTCTCCACTGCAGGGGACAGACATTATGTACTAACTTCAAGAGCAGCTACAAAAATCAAAGCCTTTTGGCTGCTTAGAATGGTCTGTATTTCTTCTCGCTAGACTATAGAAAAATGAATCAAAGCTAATAGGGATATTGTGTTCAGCTAACCTAACGAGCTTTACAGAGACGCTCATTGTGATGACGCCAAAAACGTTCCTTAAACTACCTTTAAGATGATCTTGAATTTTGGCAAACAAACAGAGAAACCCTCTTGCACTATTTTTCATATAATGCTATAGTTAAACTGGAATTTATTATAGCAACAGGTATTTATATCTCGACTCTGCAGGCATCATTTTCGTGAGCCTTAAAAGGCTTGAAAGGCTTCCTGAAGTGCTGCAGTTTATGGATGCTGTGATAACAAATAGATTTCAAGTCATTTAACTAAACAAGCACAGATACCTAGTAATACTTAGTATCATTTTAAAGAACACAGTGCAGGAAGAAATATGCTGTAAGGGTTGGGTTGGTTTTTTTTTCCCCTCCCACTATTTTTAGGTTTTGAGAATAACTTCAGGACATTGTTTTAGCTTTATCCTTCAGTTGGTCTTACAGTACATTTATACACTGTACAATTCCCCATTTCCCACCACGATTTTAACTCTTTAGCGTGGTGGGTTTTTTTAATTATATAATCCTGCTGGCAAAAGAAAGCCACGAAGTTCAAAACTGTCTAGAGCAATGCATCTTGACATCTGTCCAACACATATTAGTCACCACCCTGCAGTCAGTTTACATCAACAACACTTATTTTTCTCATCAACTTTTTTTGCCATAAATCTGTCGAGTGACCATATATTAAAAGACAATGCCAGGCTATCGCGTATTAACATGATAAAGGAACTTAATGACGCTGAAGTAAACCAGATGGAATTGGGTCGATAATATCTACATATGGAAGGCTAACCTACAGCAACCCCTTCGTCCTTTTTCCCCAGGTTGGATATAGCGGCTCAGAGTGACACCTGCTGGAAGACAGCAAGATGATACAAATGGACGTAGAAGGATTTCACACCAGCACCCGAAATACCTCCTTACCATCTAATATTTGCAGCAAGTTAGATGCACAGCCTTCATGGAAGCACTGGACTCCCTAGAAAATCTGCCTCCTTTGGAAACACATCTGTTGCAGGAAGAACCTCCCCTTAAGTCACTAAAACCTTCATTCCCCCTTTTTAGCACCCTCCTTAAGATCTTTTTTCCCTTTTGTCCTGCAGATTGCAACCACCCTAACTTCAATGGGCCTGGAGCAGCACCCTTAGGTCCTGGCCAGCCTGCCGTGCCCTGGGACAGGACACAAAAGCAAGTGACAACTCTGACCTGGTTTTGGAAACACTGAATACTTTTATTTGTTTTTAAATCAACATAAAAAAAAAAAATAATCCAGATTTATACAACAGTGAAGCGCAGTTCAGAAGCAAGTTTGCAAAGACAGTTCTTGACATGGGGAGGGGATCTTGTACTCTATGGTGTTAGACTTGTACTGAGGAGGTTGCAGGAGTGCTGTTAACGCACCAGCCCCTCAATGCCACCATGGGGAGCCACTGAAAACGCCAAACATTGAAAAAGCCTTTCATCAGTAAGATATTTAAGCTACTCCAAAATTATTTCAATCCCTCAAGAAGTTTTAGATATAGGAGAAAACGCATTGAAGTTCTACCACTGCATTTCACTTTAGAGATATGCACACACACACACACATATATGGATATATGTGGGGGTCTTATTCAAGTTTCTCCTAAACTTCCAAATATTTTTTGTGAACAAGCAAGTAAACCACGTGGGTTTATTTTAATGAAACAATGTTTTCCCAAAATATTTTTATTTCAAAGATTTTTGAAAGGAAAAAAAGAAAAATATTTATAGTCAGTTGTATTTCTGCTTGGTGCACCTGTCAAAAAAATCAAACCCTGAATTCTGTCAGTCTGTTTTTAAGGGGATGAGGGATAATTTTCAGAATGTTTATGGCACTGAACATCAACCCAGACAGATAGATCCTGCAAATGCCCTGTCAGGACTGTGGCATAATTTTGTTTGTGGATCTTGCTCAGAAACAGGCAAAGATATTTTACATTAAACAAAGTTTCCAGGTGGCCTTCAGCAGTAGTCACACAGACAAAGCTTCTACAGTTTAGTCTAGATGTAGTGGAGGACAAAAAGTGACATATCTTCACTCAAAGGGAAGAAGTATGGCATCTTTTAGCTAGCCAAAAGAGCAAAGGAGGAAGGTGGAGAGGCAAGCATTCCTCAGTAATTACAGTCTGGGTACTCACAAGCCAAGAGAAACTAAAAAGCTGGATAAAGTCAACTGCATGTTATTTTACTGTAATAACTCTCCTCTCTTAACATGTTGCAATTAGCTACCCCAAATCCTCCTATTTGCAGACACAGAAAAGCATGTTACCGAGCTGTATATGTGCATATCTACCACGTGCAAAACTATTTATATTCTGCCTCACATTTAGGCAAGAGGGATGGGAGGGTTAATCTTCTTTATGCAACAGCTGAGCTGTCTCATCCTTACCTTAGGTAGGAGCCTGAAGAGAAGCAACAGGGCAAAAACCTACTGAACACTTAATATTCCCCAGCACAGGCCTGGCTGCAATAGGCAAAGACAATCCTGTGGTTTTAAGAAAGCCTTACAGGATGCCAAATTGTCATCTTAGTTTGAAGTAAATGTGGTCATTGCTGACAACAGGGAAATCCAGGTGCAGATCAGCTAAGAAGATACGAGGAAAAACAATTCACCTGTTCCATAACTTCTGGTGCCATCCAGCAAGGTGTGCCCACAAAAGTTTTCCTGACTTTATTTCTGGTAATGTCACCACCAGTGGCCAGAAATGCACTAACACCAAAGTCTGAAAAGAAAAACAAACAAACAAACAAACAGATTTTATTAAGAACACATCCTGAGCAAACTGAAGGGTTGGCCCCCCTTTCCCCTCGTATTCCCAGCCATCTATTAGGTACAGTTACGCATGAGGAGTTTCCTAATGAACAAAGAATGATCAACAGTTAGCCAAGAGTGTTGGTACATGAACGGTCTGTAGTCCACCATTCAATTACTGGGGAGAGCAGAGCTTTCAGCGCTGGCGGGCAGAGAGGAAAATTCCACTTTCCATTACGGCCCACTGGTCACAATGCCGCACGCCCACGCTCCCCCAGCAGACCTGCTGCCATACAAACCTGCCTCTGACAGCCAGTGCTTTATTTACATTTGTATATATACATAACAAGTAATAACTGAACTTCAATTAGCGTCCCGTTAGTATTTGCAGCAACGAAGTCAGGTACCAAAACCAGTTATAGACTTTTTAACATTTAACTGTCCTAATTGCATCCTGCAGACTGGTTACCAGCCCCTTATTCTGGATGGTTTATTAGTAAAATATGCTTTGCTTGGTAGACAGGTATTCACATCCTGCACAGTGTTACCCCCGCTTGAAGCATTTTTTGCAAGCTGAAGGATGCTCAGGTACACCCCATGCCCTCACTGGTAATTTTAGTACTTAAAGTAAATAATTTTTAAATGAAAACTATGCTTTCAAAGGTAACACAGATGTTCTATGCCATCCAGAATGACATAGAAAAACAGGATCTGTGAACAGCAGCAGGGATAGCAATGAGATGCAGTATGTTTGTTCAGAGAAGAGCATTACAAAAGATTTGGCAACCAAGTCATTCAAGAGAAGATGGCAGACTTTCCTCAGAGAAAAAAATAAAGTAAAATAAATCAGGTGACAGGGAAGCTGTAAATACAAAACCGTAGAAGTACTTCTTCCCAATTTGCTCTAAACGACACTGCTTATGCGTTGCAGAATTATAGACCTGCAATGGGTCATTCTCCGTAACTCAATTTTATCTACTGCTCCCCTTTCTCTTAAACACAGTATAAGCAACCAAAATCTTGAATGCTGTTTTTGAGATTGATGACAAGCTTCGAAGATAAATCTCTGAAATCCAAGTGCTATTTCACATAAAAACAGAACATTATTGACCACAGCTGGGTTGAAAACTTCTGAAACTCAGCTGCCTGACACAGTAAACTGTAACCGTAGAGAGGACTTTTACTCAAAGGAACCATGGAATTATTCCATGGCACAAGGATGTTATCCTGAGGAATCAGCTGCAACAAAAGATCCCTCTGTACAATTTGCAAGCAATGGCATCCACGTGAGGACAGTCCCAAGCATCCTCTGCATCACGCCAGCGGTGCGACGAGCCCCTACTCACCAGTCTTTCAATATTTGAGAAACACCACTAAAATTATCACTCAGAATACTAACATGCTGAAAGCTTCCAGCTCACTTAGGCTAGAGGCTTCCAAGGACAGAAACTTAGTGCTCACTAAAATACTGGACAGGATAACTGAAAGCTGACATTAAAGAAAGCTGCACAGAAATCACAGGGCTAAAACAAACACCAGCAAATGCCTATCATCAGGGTTCAGCTTCTTCCAGACGGGCTGTCCTGTTCTCTCCCCTGTTCCCAGAGACATCTTGTCTTCCTGCCAAACTCAAAGGTGTAGCATATCTAGATGAATCAATATCCCCATCAGGACTGCAATCGGCATTTTTCGGGAAATCCACTTCTTGCAACAGTGATCCTGCTTTGAGGTCTTCCATGTACGTATCCACAATCCCTGCTTTTCTCAGAAAACTGAACGAGTTTCCTAAAAAGTTCAGAGTAAAATTACTTGCACTTTACCCCTCATTACGGGAAGTCTCACAAGATCTATTGTTCTAAACAATTAGAAGTTCTTTTAAATAAGATAATACTAATAGAAACTTGTCCTAGTGCCATCAGCATATTATTGTGATGGGCTGTATTTGAACTTGTGTGTATTACCTTACCTCAAGTTTCCATGCAGTCATTCTGAGGGTAAAGGAAATGCCATTCAAAGCAAAAGCATTCCAGCAGTAAAAACACAAGTCCTTTACACAGCGCACGCAGCATTTACCACATTTCACATCAAGCGTGCGTTTAAAAAATTCCAGTTGGAAATTGTGCCCCTACGCCTGCCTTCTGAGGTCAGCAGAAAGCTTAAACGGAATTAAACTGTATGGTTGATTTATTCAATGTTTTCCCAATCAATTTCCCCTCATTTCCAGTGGGCTAAAATAGGGACAACCAGCCTGTGCTACTCTGCTGAAAGGAATGACTTTGAAACAGTCTTCTCAAATGTCATCTTACTAACTTTATCCAAGTCCCAGCTATTAAGATAAGAATGCGCCTGCTCTCAAGAAAAATCTGTTAAGCAATAAAATAAAGTTAGGGTTCAATTCCTACTTCTGAGCAGCTGGTACAATCTGTGCCTCATTCTCTTTGCCACTGTTAACTACCCTCAAGAAAGGCTAAAACAGAACAAGGTTATTGCAAATGCATTTAACTCTAGAAAATGGGAAAAGCCACAAAGTTCAAGAGGTATGATAGCTCAGAAGTGTTTATATTTGTACTCTTCTTTGGCAGCTTGTACTTTATATTGGCTCATTACGGTGATAACTGGAAAGGACTGCATCACCAGAAACAGGGAGGAACTGGGAATGTTTGGACCTGGCTTGCAATACCAGTAACCACCACTGCTGGGAATCCAACGACTGTCAGATACTCTGAAGGAGCCCAAATATTGCAGACTTCCAGCAGTCTGCTAGTAAATAATAGTCTCCAGGATGTGCGGATGCAAGTGGTAGGATCTTTTTTTTTTAATCATTTTTCTGCAGCAACATAGAAAAGATTAATCTGCTGGACCTGTTTCAGTGATACAAACCAAAGACTTAATTAAAAAAAAATAAATATATATATATATGTATCTCCAGACTCTCATATCACAGCAAAACCAATCCAAAATGGAAATGACAATTCTGCTGATGCAGGCTCTGCAGAAAATACGTCCAATTTTGTCTTTTTCAGTAGGAAGATCATGTGTTGCAAACCACATACCCTACAAAACACTCTAGCGTTTGAAAAAGTGTGGTATTAGGCAACAACTCCTGCTATTAAGGTAGCCCAAGTTGTCAAACTTGAAAACTGCTCTGGCCACTCAGGAAATGCAAAAACTGAAAGAAAAATCTCCTCTTACTATTCTGTGTTGGAGAAACAGAGACTCAGTCTAAACAACTCACCAACGCAAGAATGCTGTGGGCAGGACCACACCGCAGCGGGCTCCATTGCTGCCGCCTACGTCAGGAAGATTTCTACAGTATCAGAAGTTAGATTGATTTACCCCAATCAAGAAGCCATTAAAAATCATCTCTCCTTGACAATCTCATATTGTAACATTACCTTAAACCTAAAAAGCACAAGTATCCACCCCTGTAGGTAGCTACCGCAAGGACTGTGTGCTGATCAGGATCCAGGACCAAAGCCTACTGACAGCAGAAAGGCTCCTACAGAGTTTGGTGGGTTTGGATCAGACCTTAAACCAGCAATTTCCAACTTTAATGGGGGCAGAACAACAGAATGAAACAATCCTGACTTCAAACCACTCAGAGCTGTTTTTAAACTTGGGTAGCCAAGGTATTATCCCTTCTCAAGCAAAAATAAAAGTATTTCAGAAGATAGCACCAAGTGGGTTTTTTTTCCAGTGGTCACCTTCCTTCTTGTTCACTTGTTCATCATCAGAAACTATCTGCAGCTGTTCTTAGTGTTTTTCTGCAAACCTTACAGCTTTTACAGCACTGAAGATGAAGAAAGCCTGGCAAGAAAAGGAGGAAGGCAGTGGTAAATAGCAGTTTTGTGCTGAGAATGCAGCAGGGTGGTAAGACACCAGAGAAAAGAAAGATTAGTGAAGAACAAGAATCAAAAACTTCCTTCCTTTAAAGACTATAGGGTTATACAGTGGTATTGGATCTAAAAATACATACTTGTTCTCCCAAACTCTCCTTTGGAAAGGTAGACCTCTACAGTCACATATATTCCTATCCAATTCACATGCAGAACAGTAGCTTTATTTTTATATGCAGCAGCAGTTCAGCCTTTTTGCAATAATGTCAAGGCACATAAAAGATGTATGAAACCCCTTTGCTGAGTAAATGTGAAGATCACATCTGAAACCGAGCCCCAACAGCATGTTAGTAACGATATATTAATACTGTATAAAGTAACTTAAGGTCCTTAACAAAGCCCAGGCTGGGAGAAGCCACTGCCCTTGGAGAAGTTCACGAGCTGTTTCAACAACCAAATAGCGCAACACCTCCTCAGGAAATGCAGGTATTACAAATGAACAAAGAGTAAGTTACTTCACATCGTGCTGCTGCAGGAGAGGCGAAACTCTCCACCAACCACAGGAAAAAAAAAAAAATAGTTTTGCCCTTTTTTGAAAGGGAGAAGAAGCTCAGAGGTGTCTGTGATGCTCAGCACTCCTCTCCCCGAGTTAGATTGGTGCCTTGCCCCTTGTTAAAGCAATTTCATCTCCCAAAGTTAGCGTTTCCTAAGGGAAAGTGGGGGAATGACACTGCCTGCATCATAGCTCAATGTTTATGTAGAGCGCTATTTTAGTACAATGAATTAAGAGCAGTCAGGAACACAGCGAACCAGTGACAAGCTGGCATGGATTTGTGGAAAGTTACACAAATTCAGTTACACAAGTTTTGCCTGGCCTTAACTATCCCCATTTTATAAATAGATAAAGCGAGAGGGGTTAGGCAGTTTGCCCAGTATCAATTAGCAAGTCCTGAACGACTTCATGAAATCTCACCTACTTCAACCGCTTGGCAACACGGCCTGCCCAGGACACAGCAGGCACACTGAGCAACTCTTGGAGAAGGTGCTAATAATAATCCTGACTGGTTTTAAAACCTTAAGATATTGTGTTATTGTCCCTACAACAGAAAAATCCCCCACGTGGAGGGACGTGCACCTCTCAGCCTTCAGTAGACCCTTGCCTTCTTCACATTCAGTCAGAGGGGTGGGTGACAGCATTATTTAATAGCCCAGTGCATAAAATCAGGGGGAAAAAAAGATTTAGTCTGCACCCAGACTCAGTAGGACGCTAATATCATGCCATGGGTGGAGCATGGTTCATACCGAGCAAGTCTCATGCACCCTGAGAGTTTCCCTCAACCTCTCCCATCCCTTCCCAGTCTACTGAAACTCTCACTTCATTTCACAATAATTTACAGGCCCTGCACAGTTAAATAAAGTGAAGAATATTAAGCCTTGCTTACTGTGAGAAGTCTCCTGTTTTATGCAGCAGCATTGGGGTGGACATAGTTTATGTTGACAAAGAGCGTTTTTACCTGTGCACCTTTTAGCCTCCAGGGAGCCAATAAATGCCAGGTCAAAGTGGTTTTATGCTCTGATTAAAAAAAAAAAAAAAAAAAAAAAAGAAAAACACCCCCAACAACCAAACACACACAATAATTGCCATGGGAACACAAAAGAATGCGGCTATCTCAATTTACATTGCAACCATCGTCAGCACAGCCCAGAACAATGGTATCTGGGAAAAAGTCCTGCTCTCTCCAGAAGATAGATTAATTCAATGTGGAGGAAAACACTTCAAACTGAGAAAGCAATACTCTCTGAATTGTAAAAGGCTCCAAAAACTTGGTGCCAAGCCACAAGCCCAAGTCAGTGCCCTCGGGGGTGGGGAGGTGGGGGAGAAAAGTTAAGATAGAAGCAAACAGCCTCAAGTTTAGGTCTCGCTGGTCAGCTGGATCTGTTAAAGGCTATTTTATGCCTTGGTTCAGTGGATACACATTTTGAAAGCAAAAGGAGCTGCAAAGTTAAAAATAGAACCATGAGTAAAAATACCAAGTCCTAGGACAGTCTGAAGCTGGGCATTTGTGCAGGCCATTAGAAGAATTTTTAGAATTCCTACTTCCAGCAAATGCCCCTGAGCTCACAGATTTCTCCTCTCTTTACCTGCGCCCGCCTCAGCTCGTGCTGCTCCCACAGCAGCTTTCACGTCCGACGCGCAGCCACCAATCCGGAGTTACAAACAGAACTTGAGAAATGTCGGACACACGTTCATCAAGTTGCTTTTTTCTGTTCAGCCTTAACAGAATTGCACAGCCCCAGTTAACAAAAGGGGCTTTAGTTTTCACCGGTTAGAATTGTATAATCCTGCAGCAAAATTACTGCCATGAATTCTACACAGTGAAAGTTTCCCAAGTCATTAAATTCACTGACATGTTGTGGAGGTATAGCCCAGCAGTGGGGTTTCCTCCACCACAGGGTCAAGCATTTTTTTTCTAAACCTTGAAAGCAGCTTTGGTTTTTTTTTTTCCTCAAAGGATTTCCAGTTTGGGATTTACATTCCTCACATTTACATTTAAGATTTACATTTCTTCTGAAACAAGAAACATGTATTGTGTCAAGCAGTAGGAAACACGCAGGAACACAAGGTTGCAAAGGCCAAACACTGAAGACAACCTTTTTAACAACTGTTCACAGGCAGTTTTGCTAGAGGGATGGCAAAAGGGGAAGGGGTCATTATAAAAGATTTTAAGTCATTCTTTCCCCGCTACATCATTTGTATTTTTTAGGTACACCAAACAAGGTGTACCTAAAGTACAAGGTGCTCCTTCAAGGGAGGTGCCCCATTCACTCTAACCTTCAGGCTTCTTTCACAGCTGGTCAGTTCTTTATTTTTTTTTCCTCATAACGTAACTTTCCAGCAAAACTTAAACACTTTTGTTTCACGGGAATGCAGCGATGTCATCCAGCTGATAACTGAAGCACTGAATGATCACCAGAATTATGAATAATATGCATTAATATTATTGTCAAAGGCAAGTGCTTTGATATCACTGAAACAAAACACACTTTATTGGGATTGGTTTGCTTCCAGCATTTTTTCCCCCTCAAAAAATTCACAAGAAATTTTGCTATTTCATCCTGGGGTCAGGAGGAAAGGAAGCTTAAGTGTCAGAAATTCCCACAGAAGCAAAAAAATCTCATGTTATGACCAGGTCAGGCTCCTCTCTAGTATTCAGTCATTCATTTATTTTTGTTTCTTTCAAGTCATCAGCTGCCTTTGCAGAAACTAAAGCGCTTCCTGCCACTGTGGTGAACTTGCTGACCTTGGTTGAGTTTAGTCACTCTGCTGTGTCTCATGAAAGGCTGCAGCGTTCGTCCTCTTGCATGTTCAAAGGAAGAATTTGTAAAGAGGAAACTTTGCACATCTCACAAGGTTGATTTCGCAGAATATGCAGAGAGATGGATTTCATCATTTAAATGTTGCACGTATAAACCACTAGTAGAAACCTCCGTCCAAGGCAAGATGTACAAATCACAAACAAAATAAATCCTCTGAAATTCGTACAAGTACGACTAGTCAACCTTAAAACTGCTTATTCATCATTTAAATGTTGCACGTATAAACCACTAGCAGAAAGCTCAGTCCAAGGCAAGGTGTACAAATCACAAACAAAATAAATCCTTTGAAATTCGTACGACTAGTCAACCTTAAAACTGCTTAACAACTAAAAATTATTCAGCAGAAAAAAAATACAGGTTCCTCTTACCAGTGAGCCTTAATAAAAAAAGAAAGCCAAACCCTGGCACCCTCATGGAAGAGAAACACAAGCAGCTTTCTGCTAGGCTGGCAGAAACACTTGGAATAACAGTGCATTGCTCTAACGCAACAGCTATTTGCAGCCTCTCCCAGAACATAATCTAAAGGTCCGTACAGTTACAAATCCAAAGTGTTACATCTTGGCCCCATTATGGAAAAAAAATATGGGATTTCACCATATAAAGTTTGCTCCTTTGAGGATTTTAGAAGCCACTCCCTACCTTCCATCAGCTGCCACATGGGATGAATTATTTACACCTCATTAGAAATGTAACAGCGGGCATTAAGAGCACTGGTAGACTTAAGAGGGAAAATAAAGCAACTTCAGGTTTTAAACTGAAGTCCTGTATTTTTAGGTATTACGTCCTGTAAAAGGGCTTATTGCCTTCTGCGGAGGGACAAGAGCTCCTATGAAAAACTGTGCATTGCAACGCATTCTGCCTCCTGGTGGGAAATCCACACCTTTCATCCCAAAATGCAAATCCAGGCATAGATACACACCAAAGGAGCCCGTACCTCTCAGCACCACACAGTGCAACACGCACTTCTGCCTGACACAACAGTCGCTGCCACACAACTGCAAAGCCCTGTCCCTTAACCCCCAGCACCCTGGCTTGACTCACTGCTGTGCCTCCAACAGCAGCACAGGGCACTAAAAAAAGAGACCTTATCACAAACAGATATGGCTCTTTCCACTTAAATATGGGACTGAAAAAGTAAAACATATACCAAGATGTTTGTTATGATGGCAGGACCAGATACGAGCATTATGCTCCAGCTAGAGGTGGCACAAGGACAGGAAAGGCACCACAGGATTCATGGGCAGAGCACAGTCCCGAGGGAAAGGACAGTTGGAGGGGAATAGTACCCAGGATAGGAAAGAGGCACACTGGGAAGAGGAAGAAAAATAAGTCTCACAGGTTCTAAGTGTACTCTCCAAAAATCTTGTTCTAGTTAATAGTCTACTAATTCTTGATTTTGGAAAGAAGACTGAAGTCTGGAGGAACGTGTATGAAATAAAAGACCAGAAGAGTAGTATGGGGCAGGAGGGGAAACCAAACAAAAAGTCCCACACATACCACACAACACCCTTTTCCACAGATATACAATCCATCCACATCAAGGACTGTTTCCAACATGCCTGCGTTGATGCAGCTCGTGTCCGCAGTGACTACAACAGCCATCTCCTCCAGGCCCATCTGTATTAGCTAAAGCAACTGTCTCAACGGTCCTCCCTACCCCGTCCCTCAGCTTGCACAACTGCTTCCAAGACTTTCAGTTCACCCCAGTTTGGGCTGGGTTAGGGCAGTCAGTTGGACAAGCACTCTGCCACTCAGTTCAACTGAAGCGGACTAGGGAGCATCCACACGAGCCGTTTGACAGGCAGATCTTTGGATAAAGCCAAGCTGCAAGTGACTTTTACCATCAGACATACCAATTTCCTTCTGATCAATCCATCCACTGTTCACCGCAGTCCTTCTGAAAACCACCTTACGCACTGATGATAAATCAGCAAGGTTTGTGCAGCCTGCTTCCAAGCCTGTTGCTGTTTTAAAAATCTGACTAGCTTATGCCAAGAATTTTATCTAATCTATTGATTCTGAGGACTTAAAGGATTTATTCAAGCTGACAGTCATTATTCCAAAGAATGATATTTTAAGATAATAAGATGTAATAAACTCTGGGCTGGGTTTTTTTTTGTTTTGGTTTGTGGTTTGCTTATTGTTGGTTTTTTTGGTGTTGTTGGTTTGGTTTTGTTTGTTTATTTTAAGAACTGTGGGGCTTCTTGAAGCTAACATTTTTATGTAGGTTTCTTCTTAATCATTAAACTATGTCTTTAGATACACAGCTGTGCCTAAAGTTTATTCAAAGCTACCAGGAAAGTTACCTGCAATTTGCACTGAGCCATCTTCTCCAAGAAGAATATTTCCTGCTTTCACATCCCTGCAGAAAGATAAAGCAACAATAAGTGGAAGTCATTAAATCTTTCCTTCAAGCAACAAAATTACATGAAAACGTTATTATTTCTTGTATTTTGTTTCTTGCATTAGCACCTCCTGCATCCAATCATGCAGGAACAGTAAGGACTCAAAACCAACTGTGGCTTCAACAGACAGACACTTAGTGGTATTTGTACAAGTTATAGCTAGCAGTATTCTAAGTACTGTGCACACAAAAAAAAGTTGAAAAACTTATAAGAAGTTACCCTCAAAAATACAAGGAAAGAGGTTTATCCCAGGTTCTTAAGTTAGCTAAAAACGCAAAAACAGAACCTAGCACTGGTCTGATACTCATGTGCCCTTTTGGGGGGGGGGAGGGTGTGTGAGGGAAGACCTGAAGAAATGGCAAGTTGATCTAGTCTCACTACTGCTGGATGCATCCTATTCTTCCCAAGCCTCACTGCTCTCCAGCCCTGGAGGAGTTCATATCCTTCCTCAGCAAGTCAGTTTAGCCCCATGTACTGGTGAAAATCCAGACACAAGAAAAATGTTGCTCACTCCTGGCTCAATGAACTGAACCACATTATCAGGGGTCAGTTGAGCAGAGCTGGCACAATAGAGATGGTGAGAGTGGGAAAGTGAGGCCACTCAACTGTTCTGTCTCAATTTTAGTAAAAAAAAAAAGTCTCCCTGATTTTTTTGACCAAAGTCAACAAACGCACAAGAACATCCAGCATGTGCTACAGAAGTTATTGTACTATCCCCCTTCTACCCCAAAAAAGCTCTGTTTTTTCAGGTTAACCACAGCGCTTCTCCATTCTTGAGGGGAACGCTACTTTCACTCTAAATATGCTTTGAAGTTTTATCACTTATTTTCACAGGCTGCTGCCCACACAAAGCCAAGAGAAGCACCTTTATGGTTGACACCGGCATTCATCAGCATGGCTGCTAAGCTTGCACTGGCTAGGAAGCCATGCAGGTGCTGTCTCAAGAAAGGCTGCAAGCAAAGCAACCGCCTGGGGAATGGCTATCAGTGAATAAATAGCAATTCATAATACGCCTCACCTTAATGGCAACCACCTGCATGGAAAAGAAAAAAAAAGAAAAAACCAAACACCAAAACACAAATTCCCAAACAAGTCGATTCCCCCTCCACTGCCTTCTGCAAAAAAAATCCAAATCCTTTCACATAAAAAAATCAAAACAAGTAAAAAGCTATTTTTTTCTCTCCTTCCTCATGTATCATGAGAACAGAACTGGCATGATGGCCTGGCCAAAGAGCCACAGTCAGGCCCTGGAAATCTCCTCCTTCCTGGCTTTGCTCTTCTGAAGAAGAGCCTGGGCTGCTGCCAGTTCCACACCAGGGTAATTTTAAGCACATCCTCTCCAGCATTGGCATTTGTTAGATTCTTCCCAATACCCAGCCTAGGACATTAGCATGGCAAGGCCTTCCCCCAGCATACAGCAGAACAAAAGTGAACAAAGACTGTCCATAAGACAGTCCCACTAAAGATTACTTTCACAGCAATGGGCGGCTGACAGCAGCCTTTAGCCTTCGAACAAGTATTTCAAGTCCTGCCAAAGGTACGCCTCTTGCTAGCAGTGACCATCTTGGAGCCTAATCCCTGCTTGAACCACAAGTCTAAGAGTAAGTACAGGAAAATACTAACTTGCTTTAATGATCATGAACACTTGGATAGATCTATATGGAAACACTGCAGTTGTACGGCGAGACAGCCTTGAAAAGCTGACTTAAATGCAGAATGGGATTCAAAGCAGTAAGAAGCTGTGACAGTGATGCTGGAATAAGCAGACAAATGTAAAACCATTGCTGCCAGCAGCTCCAGTCCTGCTCATTTTACATTGGCCAAATACATGAATATGCATTTAGGGGCAAGTCAGCTTTCCCTCCAAGCAGCATTATTCTGTTTTCTTCCTGCAATTAACAGCCACTGCAGACAGGAAAGCATCAGCACTGCAGTGGATGGAGACTCTTCAGTGGACAGAGGGACTTGCAAAGATTAAATACAACATTAAGCATGTAGCTACGCTGCCCTACTTCGCCTCCACTGGCAAAATCCAATACAGTCGGCGTTGTAGAGAGTTAATCACCATGAGAGATACAAACCTGATTAACCCCCGCACTCCCACAAAGCATTCACAGTCCATTACAGCGAAGGAACGGAAAAGCTCCCTGCCAATATTTAGGTAGAAGATGCCTTTGGGATCCAACCCCATGGAGCATGCGGAGCCATGAGAGCACAGCACCCAAGTCTGCTTCCTAGGGAAGGAGCTGGCTCACACAGCACAAAATTGTGCTTGGCACAGGCGCAGCCATCTCCGGGAATCCCCCCTCGCACCAGCATTAATTCAGAGGGAACACAGTGTGTTCAGGAAACTCTCCAATCCTACTGGAAATGTTTATCCAAACAGTTGGCTCTCCTGCGACAGCCAGGACGCATGAGGCCCTGTCAAAGCTGCCTGCCAGTTCCAGGTTATAGGGAAAGGAGTAGCACGCACCCAGGTTGCCTTGTTGAAGTTATTGTTCCTCTTACTGTAGATGGACCTAAGTAACAGTAATTTCCTCTTCCATCTGTACTCCAAGGCAGCCCAGTGTGCTGGAGTGTTTTCCCCAGTATGCTGGGCTGTGCAGTATATATTGTACAGCCCTTCCAAACCTCCCCCACTGGCACGACAGCATGTGCAGCTCAGTGAGCCCCCGAAGCAGACCATGCTCAGCCATGAAAGAAGCGCCAGGGGAGTTTTTAAGCAGAACTAAGGATGAAATCCCAACCATAGCGCGCTTCAGAGTCAAAAAAACCAACCCAAAACTCAGGCAGGTTTCACTGACAGAGCAACAGCAGCCAGAAAGCAGCACGCATTCAATACCACCAGACCATCCTACCATAACAGAGCAAGCTGGACAGGCTTGGAGTGCAAGAGGTAGTGAAAGAAGCACCCAGATTGAATCCCATAGGAATAAAGAGCCAAAGGACTCCAGACCCTTAACACACTCCAGTGCAGAGGCTTGGGGGTTTTTTGTTTTATTTTTTTAACTTCAGCTTGGATTAATTAAAGTTTACATATTTTTTTTGTTGGAAACAAAAGTCAGTAAATACGGTGCTTCAGGCTGGTTCAAGAAATTAAACCAAGTCGTTGCTACAATAAGAGATCCAGGAGGCCAACAACAGCCACTGACAAATATCCAAGTCAAGCTGCAGAATGAAATCATCACTTGATGTGGCATTTCTTCCTGGTCACCAACCCCCTGAAAAGGCCATTACTCACCCCAGCATGGTATACTCCACCCCAGAGCAGCAAAACGGATCGGCAGCAAAATGTCTGGGGACACCGATTCCCTTTTGGAGTTACTGTACCACAGAGGCAACTTCCAGCTCTCCCATTCCTCACCCCAGTGTACTGGCATCGCGTTGCCCACTGCAACAGCACCGCGTGAACGTCGAGCGGCAATAACACAGGGTGAACACAGATCCCTTTAGCATATACTGGTGTCACCAGCAGCACCTTCAAATTAGGTCCTCCTTTAAAACTTTCTTTAAGATTAATTAATTGCATTTAAAGTAACGGGGCGGGGGAGAGAGGAACAGTGCTTTCCTGTTTATTCTCACCAGGAGATGCTTATAAACTTGCAAGCTGAATGGTGAGAAGTTTGTTACTCCAGGATACGGTTATTGCCAAGTATAACAATTTGAAGGTACTTCCTATGAATGTGGTAATGACCATATCCTGGGCTGAAACACTTGGAGTAAGTGGTGTGCCTGTGGCATAATTACTATGCTGGAAACAGGAAGCAGCTTTAGGCTGTAGCATAAACAGCAATTATATCACATTTTAAATGAAGTTACAAAACCCCGGAGTAAACTCTTTCTTGCC